AACCACCCCATAGGATTTCTGAGGCTGTCAATCTTCATGGTGGGCTTGAACTGCCAACCTTTCTGCCAGCCCTGAATGCTTAACTGCTGCACCACCAGGGCTCCTTAGAGCTGCGCCAGGCAGTGGTTACCCCCCACCAACCACTCCCAGAGCCCTGTGTCTGCAGCAGTTCCAAGTCTCACACAGCCCTTTGAGGAGGGTGTTTCAAATGGGGAAACTGAGGCTCAGAGAGGGTGGTGACCCCACCCAGGACTACAGCTAACCAGGGGTGGGACTGGGCCTGACTGACCACCTTGGGCCCACGCGACTCAGCCCCCAGACCTCAGACATCCCATGTTGTGTTGGCATCTCTCTGTAAGAACTTGGAAGGATTCAACATGGATCCAGGGACAATGCCCATGAGGGCTGGGGCAGGCGTGTGCTGCTGCATCTGACCCCGTGTCTGGACTCAGAATTTCCCCTCAACCTCAGCAAGCCAGGCTTAGATGAATTTGAATCTGGTTACTGTTATTACACCACTCGGCTGTCAGTGTGTTACACAGGGGTGGCTTGTGGTGTTTTACGTATCAGCAGGGTCACCCACGGTGGATAGGTTTCAGCAGAGCTTCCAGACTAAGACAGACTAGGAAGAAGGAGAGGTGGTCCACTTCTGAATGGTTAGCCACTGAAGACCTTATGAAGAGCGGTGGAACATTATCAGATAGAGCACCAGAAGATGCAACCCTCAAAATACAGCTACCTTCTCAGATCAGTTGTTGTTGGTTATGTGCCGTGGAGTCGGTTCCGACTCACAGTGACCCTGTACAGGGTTTCCGAGGCTGTAAATCTTTACGGGAGCAGAATGCCTCACCTTTCTGCCACGGAACAGCTGGTAGGTTCGAACTGCTGACCTTTGCGGTTCGCAGCCCAATTCGTAACCACTACGGCACAGTTAACCTTAATGATGTGAATGAAGCCAAGCTTTTAGGGCCTTCGTTTGCTGGTAGGACACAACTCAAGATGAGAAGAAACAGCTGCAAACCTCCACAGATGCTGGGAATGGGGCCCAGAGCCCACTGGCCAGCGTCCACTGCTCCCTCTGAGCGTAGACGTCCCTTTTAGCCCTTCAGTCCTCCACATGGCATTCATCTAAACGATGGGGACAGAGTCTGACCTCAGCCTGTCTATAAGGTAACCAGGTCATGCCCAGATGTGGTGTTGGAACTCCTCCCTGCTCTCCTGGCCCAGGCTCCCTGGAAGGATTCAGACATAGTCCTTCTCACTGTCCGGCTTCTCAGGACTTCACTAACAGGGTGTGTGTATTAAAGACAGGAATCTACCTTCTCCACTCTACAGGCTGGAAGTCCAGATTCAGGGCATCAGGTCCAAGGGAGGGTCATTTCGTGTTACTAGCTCCAGATACCTGGAGAAGGACATCATGCTTGATAAGGTGGCGGGCCAGGTAAAAAGAGGGATAGAGCCCCAATGAGATGGATCGGCAGAGTAGCGTGAGCAGTGGATTCAGACACAGTAGCAGTGTATGGACAGCAGGACTGGACACAGCAGCACTGTATGGACAGCAGGACTGGACACAGCAGCACTGTATGGACAGCAGCAGTGTATGGACAGCAGGACTGGACAGCGTTTCCTTCTGTTGGACATAGCAACAGTAGCTGCAGCATTCCTTGGTCCCTTGGCTTGATGGTCCTCACATGGAGTCTGTCTTCCCTCATAGACATGAGGTTTAGGATGCCCTACATGAAGATCAAAAACTGCATGTAGCCTTCAGTATGGATGACCCCCTCGGTATAAGCAAAACAAAACTCACAGTAAGACCAATAAATCGCATCCTGATTAATGGAGAAAAAAGGGAAATTGTCAAGGATTTCCTTTTACTTGGATCCAGAGTCAACGCTCATGGAAGCAGCAGTCAAGAAATCAAATGACATATTACATTGGGCAGTTCTGCTGCAAAAGACCTTTTCAAGTATTAAAGAGCAAAGATGTCAGTTTGAGGACTAAAGTACACCTGACCCAAACCATGGTATTTTCAATTACCCCTTATGCATGAGTAAGGAAGACTGAAGATGAACTGATACATATGAATTATGATGTTGGTGAAGAATATTGAGAGTACCATGAACTGCCAAGAAAGAGAGTGCGGAGGCTCTGTAGTTAGGATAATCATGAGGTCAGCGGTTCAAAGCCGCCGGCTGCTCCATGGGAGAAAGATGACGCTTTGTGCTTCTGTAAAGATTTACAACCTTCGAAGCCACGTACAGGTTCACTATGAGTCAGAATCAACTCGACAGCGCTTAAAAGCGACAATATGGATTGCCAGAAGAACAAATAAATCTGCCTTGGAAAAAGTATAGCTAGGGTGCTCCTTAGAAGCGAGGAGGGTGAGACTTCATCTCTCAGACTTCAGACACGTTATCAGGAGGGACCAGTCCCTGGAGAAGGACATCATGCTTGGTGAAGTGGAGGGTCCAAGAAAAAGAGGAAGACCCTCAAAGAGATGGATTGGCACAGTGGCAGCAGCGATGGACTCAAATCCAACAATTGTGAGACTGGGGCAGGACCGGACAGTGTTTCATCCCGCTGTGCGCAGGGCTGCTGAGTCTCGATGGTTTAGAGTCTTGAGGGCCCCTAACAACATCAGCACACTGGTATGACTACAGTCACAGACTGCGTGAAAGCTATTTCCAAACAGGGGTCCCAGGTTAGGACGCTGGTCAGTCATAGCTCTCAGTCTGCCCTGTTCAGTGCTCAGGCTTGCAGACACCCACCTGTCTGGGTCCTGGTGACCACCTGAGAACACTCTGGGTTCTTCCTACGTCACCACATGCTCCCCTACCCCCCTTCAGTCTGGAGCAGCCGGTCCCATTACTCTCGTCATAGATTTGTACCTTTCTTCTTTTACCGATGGCTGTTACATTGGACTGCTAACTGCAAGGTCGGCGGTTCAAACCCAGCAACTGCTTCATAGGAGAAAGACGAGGTGATCTGTTCCCATAAAGACGGACAGCCTTGACACCCTATGGAGCCCACCTGTAGGGTTACTTTGACCTGGAGCTGGCTCCATGGCAGTGGATTTAGTTGTAGAAATGCATCCTTAAAGAGACAGCACATTGGTGATGTGGTGGCATGAAGCCATCTTTGCCTGTTACGAAACATTATTTGGAGCTCTTTCGGACCCCTTATAGATCCCAGGACCCAGAACAATTGATGCTTTTGAGTTATGGTGTGGAGGAGAATATTGAAAGTGCCATGGACTGCCAAAAGAACCAATAGATCCGTTTTGGAAGAAGTGCAGCCAGAGTGCTCCTTGGCCAAGATGGCCAGGCTTCGTCTCTCATACTTTGGACATATTATCAGGAGGGCCCAGTCACTGGATATCATGTTTGATAAGGTGGAGGGTCAAAGAAAAAGAGGAAGACCCCCAACGAGATGGACTAGCCAAGTGGCACCATCAATGGACTCAAGCGTGGCAACAGTAGTGAGGCTGGCCCAGGATCAGGCAGTGTTTCGTTCTGCTGTGCATAGGGTCGCTATGAGTCGGTACTGACTCGATGGCCCCTAACAACAACAACAACAGGACCCAGGTACTGTTCATCCAGGTTCCCCCAAGGTGACATCTTTGGTAACTAGTATGACATTGACCTTGGGGTGATGTGGTGTTTCAGTGGTTTTCACAGGGAGCTCCGTCAGACACAGCTCAACCCTTGGAGCCCTCAGTCTACCTGCAGACAGATGCACAGACTCCACTACAGACAGACACACAGACTCCCCTAGAGACAGACACACAGACTCCCCTGCAGACACACACACAGACTCCACTGCAGACACACACACAGACTCCACTGCAGACACACAAACTGCACTGCAGACAAACACACAGACTCCCCTACAGACAGACACACAGACTCCCCTGCAGACAGACACATAGACTCCCCTGCAGATAGACACACAGACTCCACTGGTGCCATGTGACTGTAAGGAGAGTACAGTGTATAGACCTAAGTGCCCTGGGAGATCAGGTGTGGCTGGATCCAGGGCTTCAAAGCCAGGGGTCCCCATGAGCCCCCAGTCATGTGCTTCAGCTTGTGTGAGACACATTGGTCAAAGTCAGATTTCAGGGGGACCCAGGGCCAAGGCCGCTGAGAGCCACTGAGCTCAGTGACTTCGGGTCACTGGATTAGACTGTGACAGGTGCCCAGAGTCAGTGCTGGGGCAGACCTTGGTCTCTGATGGCACTTCCTCCTGGGGTCAGTCTGTCCCCACCTGACCTCTGTCTGTACATACCTGCTCTCACACTACTGGCTTCATACAGTTTTTGCCCCCCCTCTGAGACCACCCATCAGTTTTCATTCCCCACTCCAGGTGGAGACTGAATCCCCTCCCATGTCCTCTCTCCCTCTCCCCCAGAGAAAGCTGCCTGTCCTGCTGCTAGGACACTCGTCAGACCTGCGGCCTGGGGAGTTCGTGGTGGCCATTGGCAGCCCCTTCGCCCTGCAGAACACGGTGACCACCGGCATCGTCAGCTCGGCCCAGCGGGACGGCAAGGAGCTCGGCCTGCGAGACTCGGACATGGACTACATCCAGACAGACGCCATCATCAATGTGGGTCTCTCCTCCCCTTGGACTCGCCAAACACCAGCTCCTGGTTTTGTGGGCTCTGCAATGACAGGCCTGCACCCTGGCCCCTGCCCCTTGTCATCTGATCCTGCCCCCTGGCCCGACCCTGCCCCCTGCCCTTTGACCCTGCACCCTGCCCCTGCACCCTGTCCCCTTACTCTACACCTTGTCTCCTGAGTGTACCCTGTCCCCAGACCCTGTGCCCTGGCCCCTGCCCTCTGTCCCCTTACTCCACACTTTGTCTGCACCCTGTCCTCTGTCTCAGCACCCCTGTTTCCTGTCTCGTCCCTGCACCTTGTCCACAGATCCTGTGCCTTGTCCCCTGTTCCCAGAGCCTGTCCATCCTTGATCTGTATGCTCAATAAGCCCACTGCTATCAAGTCAGCAGCCCCCGATGACAGCAGAGGACAGAGTAGAAGTTTCCCATAGGGTTTCTGAGGCTGTAAACCCATACAGTAGCAGACAGCCTCATGTTTCACTCATGGAACACTTGGAGGGTTTGAACTGCTGACCTTACAGTTAACAGCCCCACACTGAACCCACTGGGTCACCAGGGCTCCTTTGTCTGCATGGTAGAAGGCTCTTTCTTTACACTGAGGGGGGACCTAACTCCCAGAGACCCCTGAGCTCCTTTTCTAGTTCATGCCTGTCCGTCCTGCAGAGAGAATGGGGCCCCTGGGTCTCCTCAGATGAAAGTGGGTTCCTAAGGACTGGAAAGGTGGGAGGCAGAGCACAACCCCTCTCTCTGCAAGGACTCAGACCTCACACAGCCTCCCACCTTGAGATCATTACTGCAGGTGCCCTTAGAGGGGACTGGTGTGCAGTGTAGCATGGTCATGGTCACTGGCTAGCAAGCTTACACATGCAGACTTTTGTGATCCTGTCGTGGGTCAAAATGTAACTAACCCGTGTTTTCCCTTGGCAGTACGGGAACTCCGGGGGACCGCTGGTGAATCTGGTAAGTGTCTACAGTGGGCTCTGCTCATTGGGTTGGGCCAGGTCTGGGGGCTCAGCATGTGGCCCTCGAGCCTTCATGCCAAGGGTCAGGGTGCAGCTGGGTGGCAGGCCTGGGGAGAAGGGCATGACTGGCTACATACTGCCTGAGGCCCTGCAGCGATGCTGGTAGGCACAGAGGGATGAGGGACCCCTGAGCACATAGCTGCAAGGACAGAGCACCCCTCAGCCCCATCCTCGTGTTCAAATGCTGGGTGAAAGGAGCCATGCTGCTCCCTCCTCCCCACAAGGCCCCTCCCTGGTTCTGTTCTGGGCCCCAAAGTCAGGTTCGTACCTTCCAGGACAAATCAGGACGTTCTACTCAGAGGTCCTGGGATGGGAAGCACTGACCTCAAGTAACCCTAGCTGTCCAAAGGTCAGACAAGAACAGGGATAGACTCCAGGACCACTTGAGGAGGAGGGAGGTCACTCTGAAAGGACAGAGGCAGGAAGGATTCAGTGGGACCAAGGAGGACTTCCTGGAGGAGGAAGCTTTAAAGGTAGTTGTAGGGAGATCTGAGCAGGTAGGATGTGGAAGAAAGAGGTCATCTGAGAGTGCTCTGAGCTTGGTGCTGTCCAGTGGGAGGAGCCTGGGGGGTGGAGTGTTACCCTGTCCATCCAGCGGAAGGGGGGCAGGCTAGAGGAGGGGGGACTAGAGGAGGCTGCTCTCAACTGCCCAGCACAAAGGATCCAAGGGGACACAGAGTCTCAAGCCCCTTGGTTCTCCATGCAACTGGAACCAGGTGGGGACATGTACTCAGGGTACCAGGCAAATGAAGGGTGCTTTGACCCCAAGCTCTGCCTTTAGACCTCGCAAGGCCCTGGTGAGCTAGCAGCAACCGTCCACGGCTGCCTTAGGGTGGCCCCGAGGGGTGCGGGCCCAGTCCTCCAGGAGCCTGAAGCTGGTCCAGTGGGAAGGAGCATCGGTGGTCAGTGTGGGTACAGGGTCGGGTGAGATTCTGTGGTGCTGCTCCAGCCCTACTTGCCCTGACCCTTCTAGAAGGAGGAGCTGGACAGCAGCCTGCTGTCTAGGGCCCCAGCAATAGGGACTCTGGCCTGGGGCTGCCCTTGGTCAGCGGGACCACTTCTGAGAGCAGGGTGCGGCCTGGGAGGAACACCCAGGCAGCGAGCTTCCCCAGTGGCCTCTGGGCACCAGGTTTGGAAGCAAAATGGCAGAAAGGTGAAGATCCTGGGCACCGTGGTGGCTCTGTGAGCCTCTCGGGTTGGAGCACTGAGGGGGCCCAGCTCTGTGGAGCAGGCAGTTCAGAGTGGCAGTTGGCCGAGTTCCCGAGTGACCGAGCCTGGTCTCCTTGGTCAGGACGGCGAGGTCATTGGCATCAACACGCTCAAGGTCACAGCCGGCATCTCCTTCGCCATCCCCTCAGACCGCATCACACGCTTCCTCTCCGAGTCCCAAGACAAGCACATCAAAGGTAAAGTGCACATCTGGGTCAAGCTCTCCCTGGCTGAGGCTCCCTGACACTCCTCCAACCTGGGGCTGGAGTGGAGGGGTAAACCTGAGATCCACTGCCCATCCCTGGGTGCTGTGTGAATTCACCCTCTCCAAAGACCCCAGAACCACTCATTCTCAACCCTTGGGGGGTCTTCTTTTCTGCCCCTGCTCACCTCATGGCCCTATTCACCCTCCAGATCATCTGTCCTCTCAGCTGGGGGTCTCTACCCACAACTGACACCATTGGTTACTTGATCTCCCTGGCTCCTCCTCGCTGGCTGCTCTGTATTGTCAGAACCTAGTGCTTCCTTCCTGCATCCACCCCATTCATCCTTCCTTCCATCCATCCATCCATCCATCCATCCACCATCTATCCATTATTTATCCATCTACTCAATCATCTCTCACCTGTCCATCATTCATCCATCAATCCTTCTATCCATTCATCGATCCATCCATCCACCCATCATCTATCTTTATCTATCATCATCCATACATTCATACATTGATTATCCATATACCATCCATCTACCACATACCCATCTATCCATCCATCATCCACCCATCCACTCACCGATCCATCCTTCCATCCATCCATCCATCCATCATCTGTTCACTCTGTCTTCTATCCATCTTCCTTCTGTTCATCATTTATCAATCATCCAATCCATCCTTGCATACATACATACATCCTTACATACATTAATCCAGCATCTATCCATTATGTACCCATCATCCATACATCCAATCAATCATCCTCCCATACATCCATCCTTACATCTGTTAATCCATCCATACATCATCATTATGTATCCATCAGCCATCCATCCATTCATCCATCAGTCCTTCTATCCACTCATCCATCCATCCATCATCTATCATCATCTATACATTCATCCATTGATTATCCATATACCATTCATACACCCACATACCCACCCATCCATCCATCTACCATCCATTCATCCACCCTTCCACTCACCAATCCATCTTTCCATTCATCCATCATCTGTCCATCCATGTATCCATTCAGTCTTTTATCCATCCTTCTTTCCATCTATTCATTATTTATCAATCATCCAATCCATTCTTCCATCCACCCACCTATCCACCCATCCACCCACCCACCCACCCACCCACCTGTCTGCCTCCCCACCCCAGCCCCTACCCCAATATCCTTGGAAGTCACCTCCTCTCAGTCTCTATCTCCTCACCTCCATTCTAACAGAAATGCCTGCCCACCTTGCCCACCTCCCAATGGTTATGCACTCCCAAGGAAGGTCCAGAGATGCCTTGACAAGGCACAGTGAGGACTTTGGCAGTCATCTCAAAGTCTGTGGTCACAGCCACTTTCCTAGGGGAGGGTAGTCCAGCTGCCCTTGACCTCAGGACCTTTCCCAGTGGCTGTGCCCTCAGCTCCTCTCTTTCCAACCTAGTTCTTACCCAAGGGAACTTGCTCCCACCATTTTGCCTCCCATGCCCATCTCCTAACCAAGACCCAGACTTGACCCTCCCATCTTCCAAATCCTTCCCTGCCTCCATCCAGCCCCTCATTGTGGTTCATTGAGTCCTGGGGGACTTCCTCATACTTGTCTCCTTCTCCACAACCCCACCAGCCAAGACCATGGACTTCAGCATGCAAGTCCAGGGCCATGAGAATTGGTGACAACAAGAAACTGCTGTGGGAACGGCCCCGTCTCTTCACCACGTGTGTTGTGGGGAGATAACCTGGGGCCCGGCAGAGCCTGCCTTGCCTGGAGAAGCTGAAGGCTTCCTTTGCTGGGTGGTGGGTTCTGTCTAATCACTTGAGCTTTCTTCCCTTTGGCTGCCAGGAAGCTCAGGACTAGCCTCCAGCTCTAGCTGTGGTTTATCTAAGGTTCTGCTGTGCTTTCTTCTTCCTCGCTGTCTCTAATAACTGAGACTTTTGAGTTGAGTTCTCCTTTGTTCCTTAGATCTCTTCAATCTTGGCCACTTTGCTGGACAGCATTCGGTTGCACTTTGCGCAAACGAGATGTCTGAGGTTATGGTTTCTTTGGAAATGGGATGGGCAGTTTCCTCTTTCTTCTGCCTTTCTACCCCACTCCTCAGATAAGACCCCCCCTCAGAGCCAGTAGTGCTGACGACCTGCTGGGAAATGTCCAAGTCCTGTCCCCAGGGCTGTGCTTCTCAGGAACCCATCACCTCCTCTGGGGACATTGCAGACTAACCAGAGGACTTGTGAACCTTAGCAGAATGACCAAGTCCATCATTTAAGCATTTTTCTAAAACTGACTGGTGATTGTTTTGCATTATTTTTTAAAATAAAAATATCAAAGAATACAAGCCTAGCTAGTTTAAAGGTCTTTTATACATATTAAAAAATCTTTCATTAAATCAAGGAGCTCTGGTACTGCTCTTCCTGTTCTTGTCTGGAGGGGTTTGGGTGCAAACCAAGGCAGGCTGCAATACCGGACGGGGCAGGCAGGAGGACGCTGTGTGGGCCCAGTGAGGGGAGAGGGTGCAGGCTTAGTAGAAATGAAGGAGCCTGTGGCTGGCCATGGGACTAGAAGTGCACATGTCCCAGTGCGGGCTGTGTACCAGGCAGTCGCGGGATTAGCAAAGAGCTGAGGTGGGTAGGAGAGGGGACTAGTTGCAATAGTGGCCAGCCAGCCATGCATCCCGCTGCTGGAATGCTGGATGATACTCTACATGTGGGACCATCAGGATGTTGGAGAGTGGCACTGATGTTTGCGAGACTCCTATGGCCACAGGGAAAAAGCAGTGGGCGGACAAGAGTGGACTCGTAAGGCCAGGAGGAGAACATGCTGCCCTCTAGGTGGCCTGCCCTGGGAGTGATGTCAGGAAGGTGGCCGTGACTGGGTCCAGGGTCCACAGTGGATATTGAGCCCACAGGATTTGCTGAGGTGGGATGTGGAATTTCCAGGGAAGAGTGGGGGGTGGCTGTGGTGCCATTGGCTGAGATGGGGGCCTTGGGGACAGTCTGAAGTGAGTCAGTTCTGACTCATACTGACCCTGTATGGGATTTCAGAGGAGCAGCTGATGGGTTTTAACCACTGATCTTGTGGATAGCAGTCCAGTGCTTATCTTACAGCACCACATCATTGTTAATAAACTTTATATTTTAGAGCAGTTTTAAGTTTACAGAGAAATTGGGCAGAGAGTTCTCATCTACCCTAGCCCCCTGCACAGTTTCCCCGTCTGTTAAGGTCTTCCCTTCCTGTAAAGAGCCTGGGTGGTACAGTGAGGTTGAGCTGCAATCTGAAAGGTCAGCAGTTCAAACCCATTAACTTCTTCAGGGCAGAAAAAGGAGGCAGTCTGCTTCTGTGAAGACTTACAGCCTCAAAACCCCCACAGGGCAGTTCTACTCTCTCCTATAGGGTTACTATGAATTGAAATTGACTCAAGGGTTTGCATACCTGGGAGACTTTGTTCTCATTGAAGCATGGATTACAAATACATTGTTAGCACTGATGAGCAGACACAGATACATTGTTACTTATCAGAGTCCACAGTTCACAGTAGCGCTCACTGTGTTTGCAGACACATTCATGCCACTGATGAGTGGATACAGAAACACTGTTACTGACCAGAGTCCACAAGTTACAATAATGTTCACTGTGTTTTTAGATCTATTGTTAACCACTGATGAGTGGATACAGAAACACTGTTACTGACCAGAGTCCACAAGTTACAATAGTGTTCACTGTGTTTTTAGATGTATTGTTAACCACTGATGAGTGGATACAGAAACACTGTTACTGACCAGAGTCCACAAGTTACAATAATGGTCACTGTGTTTTTAGATCTATTGTTACCACTGATGAGCGGCTACTACATTGTCACTAACCAGAGTCCACACTTTTTTTTCAGTAGTGCTCACTGTGTTTGTAGATACATTGTTATGACTGATGCATAGATGCAGATACATTGTTACTAACCAGAATCCACAGATTACAGTAGTGCTGTGTTTGTAGATACATCGTTCCGACTGATGAGCAGATACAGATACAACGTTACTAACCGGAGTCCACAATTTACAGTAGCACTCACTGTGTGTGTGCAGCCTTTTGCATTTTGACACATGCATCCTGTCACCTGTCTACAATGACAGTTTTGTGCAGAATAGTTTCCCTACCCTGAAAATACCCTATGCTCTCCCTTATATCCATCCCCCTTCTCTCCTGGACCCCTGACAGCCCCTGATCTTTTTACTGCCCCCATAGTTTTGCCCCTTCTAGAATATTATATATTTGTTTTGAGGTTTTATTATTACTCATTAAGGTTAAATACACATACCATATAGTAAACTATTTTGAAGTATCTAGTCCCTGGGGGTTGCAAACAGTTAAAACTCAACTACTAGCTGAAGGGTTGGTGGTTCAAACCCACCCAGAGAGGCTTCAGAAGAAATTTCTCACCCTCTGCTTCTGAAAACCTTACAGACATTTCTGCTCTGTACACACAGGGGCACTGTGGGTCGGGATCAACAGGGTATCAACTAGAGACAACCACAGGGCCTTCCCGATGCTGGGCAACCCCACTCCTCCAGTCTCAAACTTACCTAGCACCCACAGAACACCCTTTAAGCTGTTGTCTCCATTTCCCCTCCCCACTCGGCTGCTGTTTGATTACCATACCTGATGTTGGTGCCACATGTTGAGATGGGGAACCTCTAGTCCAAAGTAGTTCTGTTATCTGTTTTAAAAGAAACAAGTTGGATTCCCCATCCCCACGCCAGCCTCCTTCCCTCCACAACATGCCATTTAGGATGCTTTTCCAATGATGGTGGGAATGGGCAGGCTGTGGGTTTGGATGCTATAGATCTGAGTCCTCCAGGCTGCCCTGCCCTCCCAGCCCCAAGTCTCTGGACATCTCCTCTCTGTGGGCCAGGTGTTTAGGGGCTGCTGAGTGGGTGGGGCCCTCCTGCCCAGGACAGGAAGATGGCGGCCCTGTTCTCAGAAGGGACCCTGGTGTATGTAG